GGAAAAGCATAAGAATTGTAACAATTTAAAATCAAAAATATTCTTTTTGCAGTAAAACAGTTTATCAGCACTTAAGTAAATCAAAAGTTTTACTAAAAGCTTTTAACAGTGCTGTTAAGTAACCGAATTGATAAGTCAAAAAATTAACAGTAATAACAGTAAAAGTTTATTAACAGTTTTTAATTACACAAATGTATAGCAACTGAAAATGTTTCACTCACTAAATAAAATATATTTGAATTTAGGCTGATAATTATATTTTTATAAATATTGGTAAACAAAAAATAATTTTCTGTTCTATCTGTGCTTAACAGCAAAAAAGTTTGTCTACAAATAGCAAAAAAGAAAACGAAATTTGCAAACAACAACCAAAACTGTATGTTGCTGTTAAGTCTTAAAAAATAGCATTAATTCCTTCATAAGAAAAATATAATCAAAAAAAAAACTATAACAGTTTAACAAAAAATAAAATCATTATCATCATTTACAACAGTGTTTAATGTTATCAACAGCTAACAGATATGCGAAGCTCCAGAGCTTATCCTTGCTTATCCTTGTTTTATCAACTGATTTATTAGCATCTGTTTCAAAGATCTAACGCCTGCATCTCAGCAGTCACATAATCGCTTGTTGAACTTTGTTCTGTCGTCGATGTTAATTCCGGTTGATCAGTGCCACCAGAACCCTCCAGATCATCCTAAAATCAACAACCATATCGTAGTGCACAGATTACAGAAGTGATGCTTGTTGTCTGGTGCATTGTTAAATACAATATTAAATGCTCTCAGTTAAATCCATTGAAATAAAGCTTCTTTTAGTAGACCGCCGAATAAAATCTGTTTTATTGTACCGTATAAACATTATTGAAAAATGAGCAGAGAAGAAAGTAACTTTCAAATATGTAAAACAGTTTTTCTAACAACATCAGACCTCAAATGGTACATCCGTAGTTGGCAACAATGGTAATGACGAAGTCGATGACGACTCCGACGGTGACGACAACTCTGACGACGACGACGGCAACTCCGACGACGCCGGTAACGGCAGTGACGTCGATGATGGTGACAACGTCGTGTTACTACTGACTTTTACTTCTACAGTTGTTGTGGAACCGGTTGACAAACGTTGCTTACAAAAACCCAGGTCCGGCCGGACATCACAAATATCCCATTCAGAAAATCGATCAGTTTCTAGATCATTCCAATTTTCCAACTGTATTTTCTACAAATTCAAATCAAAAAAAGCGTTTATTTTTTGCTCAGTAACTAAAACTGAATTAAATGCTAAAATTGGTAAAGAAAAGTACTTCTGCTTTTGGTGTTATAATTAAATAACTCAAAAGATTTTTCGAGTAATCAAAGAATAAACTTTTAGAATATTCTACAACTTACGTGCTTTTTTTTTTTCTAAGATGAC